ACTACTTCACGCACTATACCACGGTATTTCCACTAGAGCGAAAGGCCGACGTGTCTGACACTCATATCTTGTGGGTCGTGGTTGCGCGAGTCCAACGCGACCTCCCCGTGCTGCGTCTCCACTCCGACTGTGGCGGTGAGTTTGCCTCTAGTCAGCTTGGCCAGTTTTGTCGTGCGGAGGGCATCACCCAGACGTGCACCCTGCCGGACTCCCCGCCGCGGAATGGGGTCGCTGAGCGACGCATCGGTTTGGTCATGGAAGTCCCACATACCTCCATGATCCAGGCGGGTGCATCCCATTTTCTGTGGTCGTTTCGCGGTTCGCTACACCGCTCACCAGCTTAACCTGTGGCCACGCTCCCAGCGGCTGCAGGTTTCGCCGACCCTTCTCTGGATCACGTTCCTTGGTGACGCGTCTATGTTACATGTCTCAGGATGCCTTGCTCACGTTCGTGCCTCTTGCATGGACAAGCTCACTACCCGCACCATCCCTTGTGTCTTCCTTGGTTTCCCCCTCGACTCGTCTGACTGCCACTTTTACCACCCACCATCTCACTGTTTCTTTCACTCTTGCGACGTCACATTTGACGAGTCTGTCTCTTTCTACACCGCTGCTGGAGAGGGTTCTCGTTCCTGGGGTGCTAGTCTCTGGGGTTACTGTTGTGGCTCATCCCGGCAGTCCTGGGGGTGGCATCAGTATTGGAGAGAGTTCTCGGTCTGGGGGTGTTGGCGTGGAGTGTCCCGGAGGTAGCCGTGGTGCAGCTGGAGGTTCTGGCGCCGGCGTGGAGTAGCAGCAGCAGCAGTCACCGCCGGTGTCCGCCCTTTGCCTCCTCGATCTTCCCTCCCCTGACCGCCCGCCTGCGCCTCCCCCACCTGTGTATGGGGTTACTGTGTTTCCTCCGTCGGACTCGTTTCCGGCTCGTTTTCCCCTTCGTTCTCCTCCTGTGTCTCCTCCTATGTATCCTGACCCCAGTCCTCCGTCCCATTTCTGGTCTCATCGTCCCTCTCGTGCTCGTCCTGTCTCTCCTGTCCAATGCTCTCACCCCATGTTGCTTCGTTCCCATGCGTCACGTCCTCCCCTCCTCCTGTTGCCTCTTCCGTTGTTGCTGGCTGTCGTTCTGCCTCCTCTGTGTGACTACCTTCGTGCCACTTGTCCTCTTGTTCCTCGGGTCCTCCCCTCTCTTGTTACTGACCCGTCTGTTCCTGTCTCCAGTCTTGGCGCCTTCTCGCTACCGTCATTGACTTAGCCTCTACCCGCCGCCTTGACTATGCCACCGCTCTGGTCTCTGACCTTGCCCGTCCTCCGTCCGTCGGGGGTGCTTCTGCCCTTAGAAGTGACGTCCTGGAGGACCAGCAGTACGAGCTTGCTTTCCTGTCTGAGGCCGCGCCTCATCTCTACTCCATGCTGCTAGTCCTTGAGGGCGACCCAGACGCCTTCGACATCGCGATCCCTCGCACTTACGCTGAGGCGACCTCTGGACTTTGGGCCTCTCAAAGGATAGCTGCCATGGACGCGGGGATGGCATCTTGGAGATCCACTGGCATCCATGTTGACACAGTTCCCCCACCTAGGGTGAACGTAGTCGATGGCCGATGGCTCTTCAAGGTGAAGCACCCTGTAGAGCCGTCGGTGTTCAAGGTGCGCTACGTTGCTAGAGGCTTCAGTCAGCGCGAGGGTGTTGAATTCTTCCAGACCTTCGCACCGACCCCGAAGATGACCACTCTTCGGGCACAGCTACATGTAGCAGCACAGCGTGACTACGAGCTTCACTCTCTCGAGTTCTCGACAGCGTTTCTTTAGGGCAGTCTCCACGAGTAGGTCTACCTACGTCGCCCGCCAGGCTTCACCAGCACCTTCGCCCCGGGGACCCAGTGGCTCCTCCGGTGCCCGGTTCACGGCCAGCTGCAGGCGCCCCATGAGTGGCACGACATGCTTTGTGCTACGTTATCTGACTTGCAGCCCTTCCCGTCGTCTGTAGCCCCCTCGCTCTTCATTCGTGCTGGCCGGACCCCATTCTATAACCTTGTCTACGCAGACGACCTGGCCTTTGCTAATGTAGGCAGAGACGCACTGGCCTTTGTGAAGGCTGAGCTGCTGACCTCGAAGAGCTGCGCCACTACCTTGGCTTGCAGATCTCCAAGGACAGAGCAGCGCATACCATTATTCTTGCACACTCACACTTGGTGCGCCAGGTCCTTTAGAGGTTCAGCCTTCAGTTCTCCTCCGCATAGCCCACACCTCTGCCAGTAGATCACAGGCTCTCAGCTTCAGTCCTTGAGGAGTCTGTAGAGCCTAGTGGTTCTTAGGCAGAGCTAGTGGGTTGCCTTATGTACCTGATGACTTGCAATCGTCCAGATCTCGTATACCTTCTCCGCATCCTGGCTCGCTTTGTGGCCACAGGCAGACACCAACCACAACACTGGTCGGCCGCTAAGAGGGTTTTGCGTTATATAGCAAAGACATCGGGCATGGGGCTAGTGCTAGGAGGACGCAGACCAGTGGTCCTTACAGGGCACACAGACGATTCGTAGGCGCACGACGTTGAGACGCTCAGATCCTCCCATGGCTACTACTTTAGCCTTAGTGCAAGCGCCATCTCGTGGAGGTCCACCCGCTCGTCGTCTGTGAGGCTGAGATTACGCCGGTGCCATGGTGGCACATGATCTCCGCTGGCTAACTTTATTGCTCACAAACTTAGGTGAACAGCCTAGCTTTGCCCCGATCCTGTACACTGACAATAGGGCCACGATCCTCATGTGTCAGGACCCCCGACTGTAGGGCAGAGCGAAGCACATCCAGCTGCGGTACTTCCTCTTGCGCGAGCTACAGCAACGTCGGCAGGCCCGTGTAGTACACTTGGCCTCCGGTGCCAACACAGCTTATATCTTTATGAAGGCGTCTGCGCCTGAAGATCATCAGTGACACTGTGTACAGTTTGGTCTTGTTCTTTTAGCGTCTCACTTGCTAGTGTCAAATCATATGTATATATATATATATATATATATTTCAATATGTTTGTTAGGCTTTGTAGATGTGCTACACTACTGAATCCTACTGTAGAAGGTATAACACACTTCTTGTATCCCTCTCTCTTCTAGTGTTTCTCTCTTCTCTCTCGACATTTTCTCCTATTCTAAAACCTCTCGCTACTTTCCTATGCCTAGCTCCTAACCTAATGTCTTGACATGGTACCAGAGCAGGCCCTTCCGCTCGGGCCTTCTCCTCACGCTTCCGCAGCGTACGCTCCTCCCTCCTGTCACTTCCGCGCCACCGCCACGGCCATGTCGTGCTGCCATGGGGGCTTTGTCGTGCTGCCGTGACAGCCTCGACGCGCTGCCGTGGCGTCGATGCCATGCTGTTGTGACGTCGTCGTGCTGTCGTAGCGGCGTCGACGCGCCAGCGCACGGACGTCTGCGGGCCGCGCACAGTTTTAGCGCCGACCAGCTCGCCCACACGCCAGCCAGCGCCGCGCCAGCCACGGCGCCTCGCTGAAGACTCGCCCCTTCCCCCTCCTCCCCGCGGCAGCTGCGGGCTGTCTCGTGCCGTTCCCCCCCTCGTCATCGCGGTGTGAGCCACGCTACCAGGTGCCTAGGGCACCGCCGCCACCGCCGTCGGGTGCCTCGACGCGGCCGCCGCAGGTGCTGCAGGCCCTGCCTCCGCCGCCGCCGCAGTCGCCGACGCCGACGCCGCCTCTGCGACCCGCCGCTCACGTCGCCGACTAGATTCCCGAGGGGTCAACCAGCTGGTCGACGCCACACCTGCTGCAGGGCATCTGGGTGCAAGGGTGTGGGGGTGTTGCGTCTGGGGATGGGCTTGCCAATACCAAGCCTAGGGGGTGTGTTACAGTCATCTATCCGCCGCTGACATCTATTTTTATATATGCTTGTTAGGCTTGGTAGATGTGCAACACTACTGAATCCTACTGTAGAGGGTACTATCAACAAATATAATTGTCTATGCTAGGTACTGTATATTTGTTGTAGCCTTAGTTAGGTCAGTTCTTAGAGGGTACATTCCCTCTTTTGTAACCCTCAGCCTTCCTCCCTTAGTCGCTTTTCTCTCTACATTCTAACAGGTACAACTCATTTCTTGTATCCCTCTCTCTTCTAGTCTTTCTCTATTCTCTTTCGACATTTTCTCCTAGTCTAAAACCTCTCGCTACTTTCCTATGCCTAGCTCCTAACCTAGCGTCTTAACAGCTAGGACCTTCATTGTGTACTACTTTTTATATTATCTTGACTGGCCTTGTGGCTCTTGTCTCAGTGGCTGGACTAGTAGTGCCGCCGTGGGTTGCTCTTGTTTAGGTTGTACTCTCGTTGACTGGTCTTTGGACCCTTGCCTCAGAGGTTGGACTAGTAGTGCCACCCTGAGCTGCATGTCTCTTGCCCGACACTGCCCCTTATCTAGCCTAGGGGGTGTATCAAACATATGTTCATATGTTGCTATAGGCTAGATAGGTGCGTACTCTACATTCTAGTCAACGTTTTTCTACGCTACGATAGAGTACAACCACTTGGACAAAATCAACATGTATCAACATTCTAGTCAACGTTTTTCTACGCTAAGAATCCGAGGACGCGGAATGCTTCGGAGTGAAGCGGAAGGGTTCGGTTGCCGTGTTCTAGCTAGGGACGATGTCCGTGCCGTGTGGGGTTGGGGTACGCATTAGCGGTGTGGCGCACTAAGGTATGGAAAATTCCTTACACTACACAACCCAAATTCTATTTTTTCTAGTAGGGAACTGAAAGTCATTGTCCTTTGTACGGAAACAACATATAATGGTGCCGTTTCTCAGGCCATTTTCGCGCCACCGACTGCCACCACCCTCAGAGTGTGCATCCCACCCTGATTGGTTGGACCTCGCCTGTCGACCTTGGGGTTGTCTGAAGAGTTGCGTCCAGTTGCGGTTGGGTAGGGTCTTCTTCGGGTCAGAAGGATCGAATGGCTTTTTAGAATTGTTGAGTAGGGTTTCGAGCGGAGAGGTACTCTTTCGACACGGCTTCGGGGAATACCGTATGGGAAATAGCACGGCTACCGCTTAGTTTGTTCCACACCAGTAGGTGTAATAGTAGCAGCCAGTCTGATGGCGAAAAGACAGTTACCGAGTTAGCTGTTACCGCTACTAAGCTGGCGTCTCGGTCCCCGCATGGCCTCGTACGGCCACCGCCTCGTCCTTCTTCTCCTCACAGCCTTGCTTCTTCCGCTCTCGCTCGCCCACTCAGGTCCGTCGTCGAAGTCCGTCGTGGTGGTCCGTCAGGCCCGACGAACCAGGGTTGCAAGTAGTCATCCGAAACACCCCAAGTCGTACTCTTGCCAAGCACCGCAATTGGTAGCCTTAGTACGCGCGGGCCGTGCGTCGCCAAACCTGATTTTCCCCATCCTCCTGCCTGCCCGTTTCTCTCGCGGTGCCTTGTCCCTCAGCCACACCGTCTTGCTCGGGGGGGAAATGCGGCGCTGGCGCAGACGGAAATGACGTCAGCAGCAAGGCGGCGCCTTTCGCTCGTTTCGCGAGGCGTGGCGAAAGGCGTTCGCCAGCCTTCGCTTATACTCCTGTGAAAGGGTGAGGTGTCCAGTGTCGATTGTGAGGCGGGCTGAGACGATTGTGAGGCGCGTTGAGTCGGTTGTGAGGCGGGTTGAGTCGGTTGTGAGGCGGGTTGAGTCGGTTGTGAGGCGGGTTGAGTCGGTTGTGAGGCATGCTGCGAGCGGAAGAGTAGTGGGAGAGGTTCGTAGGAGGTATGAGGCAGTGGGAGGAGGGCAGTACAGTACCTTGGAGAGGAGGAGGAGTGGAGTGGCTGGTCGGGGACAGTGATGCTGCGAGGCATGCCGCGCTGATGAGGTGGGGTGCCACTAGAGTAGAGACAGTAATGAACGACGAGGGAGGATCGGAGAGTTCGCTGTCTTGCTTTTTGTGCAGCTTAGACTGTCACTGCTTTGACTGGCGCGGTTTTGACTGACACTGCTTTGACTGGCGCGGTTTTGATTGACACTGCTTTGACTGGCGCGGTTTTGACTAACACTGCTTTGACTGGCGCGGTTTTGACTGACACTGCTTTGACTGGCACGGTTTTGACTGACACTGCTTTGACTGGCGCGGTTTTGACTGACACTGCTTTGACTGGCGCGGTTTTGACTGACACTGCTTTGACTGGCGCGGTTTGGACTGACACTGCTTTGACTGGCGCGGTTTTGACTGACACTGCTTTGACTGGCGCGGTTTTGACTGACACTGCTTTGACTGGCGCGGTTTTGACTGACACTGCTTTGACTGGCGCGGTTTTGACTGACACTGCTTTGACTGGCGCGGTTTGGACTGACATTGCTTTGACTGGCGCGGTTTTGACTGACACTGCTTTGACTGGCGCGGTTTTGACTGACACTGCTTTGACTGGCGCGGTTTTGACTGACACTGCTTTGACTGGCGCGGTTTTGACTGACACTGCTTTGACTGGCGCGGTTTTGACTGACACTGCTTTGACTGGCGCGGTTTTGACTGACACTGCTTTGACTGGCGCGGTTTTGACTGACACTGCTTTGACTGGCGCGGTTTTGACTGACACTGCTTTGACTGGCGCGGTTTTGACTGACACTGCTTTGACTGGCGCGGTTTTGACTGACACTGCTTTGACTGGCGCGGTTTTGACTGACACTGCTTTGACTGGCGCGGTTTTGACTGACACTGCTTTGACTGGCGCGGTTTTGACTGACACTGCTTTGACTGGCGCGGTTTTGACTGACACTGCTTTGACTGGCGCGGTTTTGACTGACACCCAACTGGCACTGCTCTGAATGACAATGCTCTGACTGGCTGCTTTGACTGGCACTGCTTTGACTGGCACTGCTTTGACTGGCACTGCTTTGACTGGCACTGCTTTGACTGGCACTGCTTTGACTGGCACTGCTTTGACTGGCACTGCTTTGACTGGCACTGCTTTGACTGGCACTGCTTTGACTGGCACTGCTTTGACTGGCACTGCTTTGACTGGCACTGCTTTGACTGGCACTGCTTTGACTGGCACTGCTTTGACTGCACACTCCTTGGACTGACATGGTGTTGGCTGACACGGGTTTTGACCGGAACCGTTTTGACTGACAAATACTAAGTGACTGTATCTCGATTGACTTTTGCGTTGTGGTATGGTGTGCGACAAATTGGCGTGGCATGGGTGGAATTGGCATGGAGTGGTGCGTGCTGGAACTGCATGGTTTGGTATGGCATGTGATGGCGTAGCATCTAATGCCATGGCATGGCATGCGACGTTATTTCATGTGATCTGTTTGCACATAACGGCATGGCATGCGATGACATGGCAGGGCTCCATTGGCGGAATGGCAGCAGCGGCTGCTGGTATGGCATGCTGGGCAGGGGACCGACAGGAAAGACACCCTGGCGGAGGGGAGGGAGAGAGGGGCGGAGGATTGGGATGGAGAGATGGGGGGGGAAGCGGGGGAGGTGGCGGGGCAAGCAGTTGAGTTGGAGCAAAGAGAGGCCAAGGAGGGGGAGAAAAGGGGTTCGAGGGAGGCGGGTCATGAAAGTAGGTCAAAAGTGGGCGATCAGGGTGGAGAGGCGCACATGGGGAGAGGCGGACACGTGTTAGATAGCAGACATGACACACGTGACAGACATGACACACGTGACAGACATGACGTACAGGCGGACTCACACATGGGATGGGCACAAGGTGCGGACTTCGGTGACTCCAATGACTTCCTCCCTGTGCTCGACCCGCTCCGCCTGCCGTCCCTCTTCCAATCACCTGCTGCCACCTCATCAGCCTCCTCGGACACCTCTGGTCCAGCCAGCCTGGATGCCACGTCAGCAGCAGCGGCTCAGGAGAATGTGGTGAGAGCAGGTGGCTTCGAATTCACTGTGCAGACTGCTGATGATGCTGACGGGGCAGTGGAGACTGACGCAGTGAGGGTAGAGGGGGCTGCAGGGGAGGGTGAGGCGGAGAGAAGTAATGGCACGCACCACGGGACGGGCCGTGGAAGACAGCTGCAGCAGCGGCGCAGCGAGGGGCTGGGGCAGGGTAGGGGGCAGGACCAAAGCAGCAAGGCAGCACAGGACGGGGGAAGCGGAGACGGAGGGAGCGAGGCTGCTCAAGGGGGGCCAGCAGCGAGGGCGGGGTGACTCTGACAGGGCTGTCGTCGGCCGTCATGTCCGGCTCACTGCTCTCTGAGGCGCCTCTCGGCTCCCCCGTGCTCCTCCGCATCGCCTTTGCTGCCGGCCCCAAGGCCGGCCACCAGACCCAGCAGCAGCAGCAGGTGGCGTCGCCTGTTGGCCTCTCGTCGCCCTTCTTCCGGCTGTCCTCGCAGGTGGACCTGTCCCAGTCGCGCGTGCAGCTCTATGGCCCCATGCCGCACTCCCGCCGCCGCACCTTCCCCCTCGCCGTCTCCCAGGCTGCTGACGCTGCTGGGGGCGAGGTGCTCACTTCTAACTTCACAGTCAAGGTGCGCCACACACGCTGCACAGTCAAGGTGTGCTACACACGGCACGGCTACAGTCGTCTACATGTGACCACACTTGCACTTGGTCCATGGTCCGTCGTCCATCCTCCGACGCAATTCAACAGACGGCGTGTTCCTGTGCTCTGTCAATCGTGTTCCTGTGCTCTGTCAATCGTGTTCCTGTGCTCTGTCAATCGTGTTCCTGTGCTCTGTCAATCGTTCGCACACGTGCACATCCCAACCGTTTCTCCAGCGCCCACAGCGTGATGGTGGTGGTGGCGGACGCACACATATTCATTCATCCGTCTCCCTTCCCTTTTTCCTTTTTTTTGTGTGTGTGTGTGTGTGTGTGTGTGTGTGTGTGTGTGCGCTTGCCTGCCTCCTCCCCCACCCTCCCCCCAGGTGCCCGGTGCGTACAGTGTGATGGTGGTGGTGGCGGACACGCAGGGCAACCGCCTCAAGTTCAAGGCGCCCAACTTCTTCCGCTCCGCCCTCCCCACCCCCACGCACCTCCTCCCCACCTCCGCTGTCTCCGCCCCTCTCTCCCCCGTCACTTCAGTCTCCTCTCCAGCCGTGGCAGGGCAGCAGGCGCAGATGGCCTTTGCCCTCGTTAGTCAAGATGGCACCCAGGTGCCAGTCACGGATGCTGATGTGATTGTAGCGAGTGTGACGAGAGTGAGTGGTGGGGATGGCAGCAGCCCTAGTGGGAACAGCAGCAGTAGTAGTGGTGGGAGCAGCGTCGGGGAGGGCAGTGGGTGGTCGGAGGGGTCATCGGGGGTGGGCGTGGAGGTGGATGGGGCCTCAGGGCACATCATCCTCCGTTTCACCCCCCCGTCTCATGGTGACTACGCCCCCCACCTCTCTCTCATCCGAGCCCAGCAGACACTTCAACTCCAGGACCCTCCGCCCTCTGCCTCCTCCTCCTCCTCCTCTGCCTTCTCCGCTTCCTCCTCCGCGCCCTCCTCTCTCGCCCCCTCCTCTTCTCTCCTGCAGGTGGCGCCAGGCGAGCCCAGTGCAGAGGCCTCGGGGCCACTGCTAGTAGCAGCACAGGAGGTGGGTGTGGCGCAGACGGGGCGTCTGACGGTGTATGTGCGCGACGCCATGGGCAACGACATCCCTGCTGAGCCCCTGCTCTCGCTCTTCTCCGCCTCCTTCTCTGTCTCCTCCAACTTCACCCAGCAAGACCTCACCTACCCCGCCACCCTCTCCCCCTCCACCTCCCCCTCCACCTCCTCTTCCCCCCTCAACTCCTCCGTCCTTGACGTCACATTCGATTCAGGCACACTGGCAGGGGCGGCCTCTCTCTCTGTCCTCCTCTCAGGCCGCCACATCAGGGGCAGCCCCTTCCCCTTCACGGTCGTCCCCGGCCCGCTGCATGCGCCCTCCTCGCTGCTGTACGGCCCGGGGGCACATGGCGCCGTGCCGCGGCAGGCGGCGTTCGTGCAGCTGCAGCTGAGGGACGCGTGGGGCAACGTGCTGCTGGCAGGGGGGGCGGGGCAGGACGTGCAGGTGGGGGTCGTGGCAGCAGCGCAGGGGGCAGCGGCGGCAGCAGCGCTGGTGGGTGGAGGGGGGGGGGAGGGGCGCAGAGGGGAGTGCCGGCGGTGGTGGCAGGGGCGGCAGTGAGTGTGATGGACAGCGGCCATGGCAGCTACTCCATTGCCTACCGTGTGCCGAATCCAGGTGCCTACGCCCTTCTTGTGACAGTAGGCGGCGTGCTCTTGCAGAATGTGACAGTGGCAGCTACACCAGCAGTGGAGGCCAGTGCAGGCAGCATAGCAGCCCAGCCCACGTGTGTGGTAACCGTGTTACCCACCTCAGGCCCAATGCAGCAGCTGCTCGCGTTCGCCCCGCCTCTTGTCCAATCAGGAGCCGTCACGTGGCTGCGCATCGTGGCAGTGGACTCAGCAGGCATGGCAGCAGTATCCGACCCCTCCCTGTCCTCGGCTAACCTCTCCCTCACCCTGCTGTCCACCCAGGGCCAGGTGGCTGACATCACTGCTACCCCGGTCGTCCCCTCCTTTGGAGGGAAGCCCATTCCTGCTGTGTGGGAGGCGCAGGTTACTGTTGAGGTGGCCGGCAGCTTTGTCCTGATCTGCACGCAGTGCTTGGGGCGGGCGAGCAGCATGGTGGTGAAGGCGGGGCTGCCGCTGCAGCTGCTGCAGGGGGGTGCGGGCGCGGGGAGCAACGGCTCCTCCTCTGCCGCTGGCTCTGCCTCTCCTGCTGCCCTCTCCGCCAGTGCTGCATCAGCCGCGAAGCCAACGGAGGACTTAAATCGGATCTCTCTCACTGCTCACACGCACCTGCACAGGCACAGGGCGCCTTCTGTCAGTGCTGGTGGCGCTGCCACTGGCAGCAGTGTGGCGGGCATGGCAGTGGCAACAGATGGCTCTTCACCATCTGTCCATGGTGCGCTCTTCCCCTCCCTCCCTTCCACCCAACCCTCGCTCACCTCGGCCACTCCAACTGAACCCAACAGCAGCAGCAGCAGCAGCAGCAGCAGCGGTGCCGCAACTGCAGTGCATGGTCGCAGCCTGCAGTCTGCTACCACCACAGACACCCTGCCCAGTAGCCAAGAACCAGTCACCTCGCCGAGCAGCAGCACCAGCAGCAGCAGCAGCAGCAGCAGTGCGAGAGCCATGCAGCAGGACACCAACTACGACCTCATCTCCGGCACCTCGGGCTCCTTCTCCCTCTCCGTTCTCCCCGGCCCCACTGCCCCCGCCCGCTGCTCCTTCGCTCTCGCCAAAGCGCCCTCCTTCGGCCGCGTTGTGGTGGTGGGCGGCGCCGTCCGTCTGCCTCTGCGTGCCAGCGACAGCAGTGGTAACCAGCAGAGCTACAGCCTCAGCCGCTACCCGCCCTCAGCAGATGCCTTCTCAGTTGTCGCCTCCCCCACATCCGCCTGCCAGGAACCCCAGGGGCAGGCTGTACCTGTGGAGGGGGACGTGGCGTTTGGGAGGCTACAACCAGGGAGCTTCGATGCTGAGTTGAATTTTACCCGGGCGGGCGAGTATACAGTGCAGGGCTATCTGGGGGAGGTGCCGTTTGGGGCGGCGGCAGAGAGGTTCACAGTGCTGCCGGGGGAGGTGGATCCGGGGGAGAGCTATGTGGATGGGGGGGACGTGAGGGAGGCGGAGGCAGGGAGTGTGGTGAGAATGCGGCTCGTTCTCCGAGACGCCCTGGGCAACACGGCCATTCCCTACCACCTCGTGCTGCCCAACGCCTCTCTCTCCGCCCAGCCCAATGCCTCACTTGCTGCCTCCGCTTCCTCCTTTGCCTCTGTCTCTCCCTCCGACCATGTCTCTGCCTCTGCTGCTGCTGCGGCCGCCCCGGCCTCTGCGGTGCAAGCGGCCTGCTCGGTGGTGCTGCGGCCGGTGAACCTCACGCACCGAGCCACGTGGTGGGGCGGGCTGTGGACGCAGGGGGAGGGCGAGGCTGCGTGGGGCGGGGAGAGCGGGGGGAGTGCGGACGGGCAGGAGGAGGCGGGGACTGTTGTCATGGCGGCAGTGGGGGGCGGGAGGAGGGTGCAGCCGGCACAGGAGGGGGGTGGAGCAGGGCAGGAAGGGGGGCAGGGAGGAGAGGATGGGGGAGAGGCAGGGGGGATAGAGCCAGAGGGAGTGAAGTGTGTGTGGAGTGCTGCATGCTCCCTGCCGCTCTGCCAGGCCCTTGCTGCTACGGACTATGGATCCCAGCATGCAGCAGCTGCAGCAGGAAGCACAGGCAGTGGAAGAAGAGCAGCAGTAGCCGGTGCAGCAGGGGCGGCAGCAGCAGGGGGGTCGGAGGGGTGTGTGTTGGAGGTGCAGTTTGAGGCGCGGCAGGCGGGCAACTTCAGCGTCACGGTGCTGCTGGCGGGGTCCCGCAAGAAGCTCGTGTTCCCGGTGCCGCTGCTCGAGGTGCTCCCAGGTGCGCCCTCCGCCGCCCTCACCACTGTGCAGCTCAACGACAACTCCGCCCCCGCTGGCTCGCCCCCCAATGTGACTGTGGTGGCCCGGGACGCGTTTGGAAATGAGCTCCACGAGTTTGACTCGTCCACACTTCTCTATGCCGTGCTGCCCGCGCCCTCCTCCTCCCCCCCGCCCTCGCCCTCCCCCTCGCCCCCGCCCTCTTCTCCCCCACCGGCCTCCCCCTCCCCCTCGCCCCAGCCCTCCTCCCCTCCCTCGCCCTCCTCCCCTCCGTCCGGCAACAGCACATCTGGCAATGGCACAGCTGGCAATGGCTCAAGCAGCGCCTCTGCTGCAGCACAGCCTGCGCTGGCTGTGCCGCCACGCTCACTGCAGGAGTCCCAGGCAGGCAGCAGTGGGGATGGCATCGGGGAAGTGAGCGCTGGGAGCAGCAGCAGTGTGAGCAGCAGCAGTGTGAGCGGGAATGGGACTGGGAGCAGTGCAATGGATGCGAGTGCGATGGTGCCGGCAGCAGCAGGCAGCCAAAACCAATCCCTCGTGGCCCACCCTGTCCTGCACGCCCTAGGCCCGGTGCAGGTGCAGGTGTACCTGGCAGGCCAGCCCGTCCCAGGTGCTACCTTCCCCCTCACCATCCTTCCAGCACCCCCCTCCCCCGCCCTCTCCTACGCCTTCGGTCCGGGCTTGGAGCGCACGGTGGCAGGCGCTCCCTCGTCCTTCACACTGCAGACGCGCACGGCGCAGGGGTTGTTTCCCGGGCAGACCACCGCGGAGGGAGGGGGCGCGCAGGGGGGATGGACCCAGCTCGCGCAGGGAGGGGAGGGGGAAAACAGCAGCAGCAGCAGCAGTGGCAGCAGCGCCAGCGCGTGGGGCAGCAGTGCAACGTTCCGGGACGGGCCGGTGAGCGTTGTGGTGACGGTGTTTGCGCGGCGCAACGTGAGCCGCGAGGCCGAGGTGCGGTCCGTGGTGGGCATGGGGGGGGGTGCGTACCGCATCACGTACACCACGTACGAGCCGCCCCACGGGGGCTTCTACCGTGTGCGCGTGCAGCTGCACGTGGCGGGGACTGGCGAGCCCCCGGCTGACATCATGGACGGCCCGTTCTTCGTGCCGTTCTTCCGCGGCTCTGCCGCTGCCGCCCTCTCCACGGTGAACGCCTCTCTGCACTCCACGCTCTCGCTGCCCGTGCAGCAGCCGCTCGTGCTGCTCGTCACCACCGCGGACCAGTTTGGCAACGTGGGGCCCTACAACCCCCTTATGGACTCCCTCCCTCTCGTCTTCACCGCCACTCCTTCCCGCTCCTCCTCCTCCTCCCCGGCCCCCTCCGACCCTGCCACCCCTGCCGTCCCCCCCGTGACCTCCCTGCGCGATCTGTACAATGGCTCGTGCGTGGCGGTCTTCTCTGCGGCGCAGCCCGGGCGCTATCAGCTGTCCATCAAGATTGCGGGGTACTTTGTGGGCGGCGCTAACGGACCCATCGAGGTAGAGGTCACTGAAACTGCAGCCAATGGTACGGCACAGCCGGCAGCAGTGGCAGCAGCAGCAGCTGCTGCCAATGACTCTGACGGGGACAACACAGCAGCAGGAGCAGGAGGAGGGTCGAGCGGATCGGCATCCGCAGCAGCAACTCTGCCACGCCATTTACCCGGAGTGGATGCGCTGCTCCGCGAGGCCGAGAGCAGTGCAGCAGCGGCGGGCACGGACGCGTGGCAGGTGAACGCCTCCCAGTGGCGCGTCAAGGGCCTGGCGGGCGGCGGCTCGTCCCTCTTCGCGCTGGCCCGCACGGACTTCCTCCTCGTCCCCGACTACAACTCCGACGGCCTCAACGACGCCCGCGCTGCCTCCGACGCCCCGCGCGCCGCGCCGCTCTCCTGGGACGTGCTCATCCAGCCGCTCCTCTCCCCGCCCTCCTCCCTCACCCCCGACCCCTCCCGCCCCGCCTCGCGCCCCTCCGTGGTGCAGCCGCTGTACGACGGCACGTGCGTGGTGGCCTTCACCCCACCCGCTCCCGGCCCCTTCCTGCTCGCCGTGCGCCTCTTCGCCCAGCACGTGCCCGGCTCGCCCTTCCTCCTCTCCTCTGTGCCCGGCCCCGTGGCCCCTGAGCTCTGCGACGTGTGGGGGGCAGGGCTGGGGCCCACAGTGACAGCGGGGGCGACAGTAGGGGTGAAGGTGCTGGCGAGGGACCAGCAGGGGGTGGTGCGGCGGGGCCGGGGGGATTTGTTTACCCTGCAGCTGTTTGGAGGGGGGGACTCGGGGCTGTACTCCAGCTCGCTGCTGCAGCCGGTAACGAGCGGGGCGGGGCAGGGGCAGGGCGTGTACGAGGGGACGTATGAGGCGGTGCAGGCGGGGCGCGTGGCGCTGTGGGTGGTGTTCCACAACACCATAGTGGCCACCGCCGCTGTCACCGTGCTGCCCGGCCCGCCCTCCGCTACCACGTCCGCTGCGCTGGTGCCAGAGGGGGGGGTGAGAGTGCGCGCGGGGGAGAGGGCAGAGGTGTTGGTGGCTCTGAGAGACGGGCTGGGCAATGTGGCGTCCTTTGATCCCGACGCTGCCAGTAACACCGCTGCTGCCACCACCCAACTCACGGTCAAGCTCCTCTCCTCGCCTCTCCCTGCCTCCTCCCCCGCCCCTACCTTCACTGCCACCACCATCCAGCCATCCCTGGTCGCCCTCTCCGCCCCGCTCACCATAGCTGGCTCCTACCAGCTCCAAGTGCTGCTCAACGGCTCTCCCCTCCCCTCCCCTCCTCTCGCCCTAGAGGTCCTCCCTGCTGCCCCCGCCTCCTTCTCCCTCTCTGGCTTCCCTCCCGCTGCTTCCTTCCCTGTGGCCCGGCCGGTGGTTGTGCACGTGGCGCTGCGTGATAGGTTTGGGAATGCAGTGGGGCATGGGGCGGGAGAGGAGGGGCAGGTGGGGGGGTCGGTGACAGTGTCGCATGGGGACGAGTCGACAGGAGGGGTGGTGGGGGAGATGTATGGTCTCAATGTGACGGCAGTGAATGTGACTGCAGGGGACATGAGTGAGACGGAATGGGAAGGCACCGTAGCCACAACTGCTGCAGGAACCCCCTCTACAAGCACAGGCACAATAGCCGGGCGCAGCAGGTCAGCCACTGCTCAGTCCCCCTCTCCATCTCCCGCCTCCCCAGCCCCCTCCTCCCCCTCCTCCCCCTCCTCCCCCTCTTCCCCGTCCTCCCCCGCCATCCGCGCGTGGCGGATCTCCTTCACCCCTCTGACTCCGGGGCAGGCCTCCCTCCAGCTCATGGTCGGACCCCCCGATGCCGCATTGCCCCTCTCCTCACCGTCCTCCGCCCTCCCCCTGCAGGCCACCATCCTGCCGCGCCCCGTCAGCCTCGCGCACTCCACTCTCTTCGGCGCGGGGCTGCAGGAGGGGGGGGGCGTGCGGGCGGGGACCATTGTGGAAATGGGTGTGTGTGTGCGGGACGCCCAGGGCTTCCCCCTCCTCGAAGACGCCGCCAAGCTGCTCAAAGTCTCCGCCGCCTTCGCCTTCGTCGTCCTCCCTGCACCCACCCCTGGCGCCACTCTCCCTGTGCCTCCTGCCTCCGCCCTGCCCCGTGCCAGAATGGGGTATGGCGGAGGGTGCATCTTCAGGGGCTCGTTCACCCCTCCCAACAACACAGCGGCAGCAGCGCCATCAGCAGCGGCAGCAGCAGCAGCAGCATCTTACGGGCTATCGGTGGCTGTGCTTATCAACAGCCGCCCGGTTCGCTTCCAGTCCACCAACATCACTGTTCATGCCGCCCTGCCGCCTAACGCTCCCCTACCAGCCAATCTCGTGGTGACAGCTGTCACTGGGGACGGAGTCCCTATTCCCAATGGGTACCAGCTTCGGGGCGGTGCAGTTGGCTCGGAGACAAGGTTTGGCGTGCGATTTACCGACTCTAACGGCACGGCCGTGCTGGTGCAGGATGACTCAGCCCTGCTGCTGAAGCTCACCCCCTCCTTCGACTCCCAGGACCCTGACCCGGCTCTCCTCTTCGGCGCTGCTGCTGCAGGCACGCAGGGGGGTGGGGAGGAGGGGGGACGGGACAAAGTGAGTGTGAGTGTGAGTCGGGGAGGGTACGCAACAGTGACGGTGGTGGCAGCGGCGTCACACGTGCCGTGGCGCAATGTGCACTACTCCACGCCTGACGGCTCCTCTGCCGGCTGGTTCCAGCTGCTCATTGCTCCGGGTAAGGCGGGTGACCAACGTGGGTAGGGGGGGATATGTCTGGTGTGCTGGCGCCAGGTGAATTGCCATCTGGGCCAGTCATCGCAACCGCCTGTATGATTTCCCGCTGTTTCACTGCTGGAGTTTGACTCAGAAGGCAAGACAACATCCATGCATGTGTTTTTTTTCTCCGTCGGTTTACCCGTTTGGCTATATTCGCCATCTTAACGAAGCACGCAACGTGCGTGCATGGCATGGGTGCATGGCATGCCCGCATCATGCTGTGCATCCCCTCAGGTCCGGCCGTGGCAGTGCGGGTGGACGCAGCTCCCCTACTGGCGTGCGCGAGGGGGGCATGCATGGTGGGGCGGCGCACGGCGTTCAGCATGGAGGTGGTGGACGGCCACGGGGCCACTCGCACGTTTGACAGGCTCACCGGGCAGGGTGACGCGCTCACCGTGACGCTCACACGCGCTGGCAGCAATCAGGTGCGAGCCACCCACTTCAAGAGGTGGTGGGCGGCAGTGGGGCCACCAGGCTGGTCAACAGAATGACAGGTTAGGGAGACGCGCACACTGTGCTGCTCACACGCACTGGGCTGTTCACACGCCCTGGGCTGCGATGTCACATGCTCCATGCCATGCCATGCACCGCCATGCACCACCATGCACCTCCATGCACCTCCATGCACCTCCATGCACCTCCATGCACCTCCATGCACCTTCATGCAATTTGAACTTGTGCATAACTCTGTGCAGTGTGATTCTTTGGTTGTGCTTGAGCTTCTCAACCCCTTTTGTGCTAATTACCTCTGCACTCCCTCCTCTCCCTCCTCTCGCTCCTCTCCCTCCTCTCCCTCTTCTCTATCCTCTCTCCCTCTCTCTCCTCTCTCCCTCCTCCCAATCCCTCATCTCCCTCTCCCTCCTATCCCCCCTCTCCCTCCCCTCCCACCCTCCTCTCCCTCTCTCCTTCCTCTCCCTCCTCTCCCTCCTCTCCCTCCTCTCCCTCCTCTCCCTCCTCTTCCTTCCTCTCCCTCCTCTTCCTCCTCTTCCTCTCCCTCCTCTCCCTCCTCTCCCTCCTCTCCTTCCTCTCCGTCCTCTTCCTCCTCTTCCTCTCCCTCCTCTCCCTCCTCTTCCTTCCTCTCCCTCCTCTTCCTTGCTCTCCCTCCTCTCCCTCCTCTCCCTCCTCTCTCTCCTCTCCCTCCTCTCCCTCCTCCCAATCCCTCATCTCCCTCTCCCTCCTATCCCTCCTCTCCCTCCCCTCCCTCCCTCCCCTCCCTCCCTCCCTCCTCTCCCTCCTCTCTCTCCTCTCTCTACTCTCCTTCCTCTCCCTCCTCTTCCTCCTCTTCCTCTCCCTCCTCTCCCTCCTCTCCCTCCTCTCTCTCCTCTCCCGCCTCTCCCTCCTCTCCCTCCCCTCTCTCCTCCCCCTCCTCCCAATGCCCCCCCTCGTCCCGTCCCCTACTGCTCAGGCTATCTTCTCTTCTGCTGCCGCTGTCAACTCCAAGGGGAACTATCTCGGAAGCTTCCTGGTGTACGAGCCGGGGAACTTCACCCTGGCAGTGCGGCTGAACAACCAGACGGCCTTCACCGCCCCGCTCCAAGTCCTCCCAGGTCCATCCACGTTTTCCCACGTCTTCATGTCCGTCTCATCTGGTCACAATGCTGGATTGGTTCGTATCATGTCGGCTTTCCAAGGCAACAATTCTGAGTGTGAATCCCTCTAGCCATGGGTTCACAACCAATCTCCACCCGTCTCTCTGGCTCGCACCCTCCACTGCCCTCTCCTCGTCCTCACATCCTCCTCCTGCATCCACACCCCCCCTCACCACCCTCCCATCCCCAATCCCCGCCCCTCGTCCCCAGGCCCCTTCTCCCCCACGCTATCCCGCGTGCACGACCTGTCAGCCACAGCCGTGGCGGGGCAGCCGTACCGCTTCAACGTGTCGCTCCGCGACGCCTTCAGCAACGCCTACCTGCTGCCAGGGCAGCCCTTCCTGCTGCACACGCGCTCACCCTCCTCCGAGGCGCACCATGGGCTGCTGCTCTCCTCGCCCGCCTCGCCCACCCTCACTGCCGCCATCACTGTCTTTGAGTCCGGGCCTGCACGCCTCTCTGTCACGCACCTGCCTTCCAATGCGCACCTCTGGGGGTCACCTTACACGCTCACTGTGCTGCCCGGCCCCGTTGCTGCTGCTGCCTGCTCCCTGCTAGGCCTGGCGAATGGCACACTTGTGGGCAGCAACCAAACTTTTTTGGTGGTTGCCCGGGACCTGTATGCGAACCCTATAGAGTACCCCACGGCGGGGGAATCGGGGCTGACCGTAAATGTGACATTCGTTCCTGCCCCTGGTGGCGGTGGCAGTAGTGCAGAGACCACGCCAGCGGTGCAAACCACCCAAATAGACTCCTCTCTCAAAAACCCTAGCCTGCCAGCTGGCGGGCTGGTCTTCACCTTTGCCACGTCAGCAGCAGGGACTTACACCGTCTCGGTGAAAGTGGGGCCCACTCACATCATGGGCAGCCCTGCTGACGTGGCAGTGCTACCTCCTGCCCCCTCCGCCAGTGTGCTTGCCTCCTTCGACCGCTCCCAGCGCTCCCTTGCCATCGCTTTCTCTCCCGCTCCCACCCTCTCCTCCCCCTCCTCCTCCTCTTCTCCCTCGCCACCTGCCAATGGTGGCACAGCAGGAGAGGGTGCAGGGGGGGGGGCAGCGGGAGGAGCGGGAGGCGTGGGGCAGCAGGATTGCTCGGAGCTGCTGGACGCGGAGAGCATGGCGCGGGTGGGCAGCGGTGCGCAGTGTGTGTGGCAGGACTCGTCCCACCTGCTGCTGTACCTGGGCTTCAACTCCTCCCTGCTCCCCTTCACCTCCCTCACCGCCTCCACCGCCCCCAACGCCACCATCTCCTTCCTCCCCTCCCTTGCCGCCCCCACCTCCTCCCCCCTCCCCCCCAACTCCTCTCTCACTGTCGGCATCGGCCCCCCTGGCGGCGCCTCAGGGGCGCGGTCCCCTCAGGAAGTGCAGGAGGCAGTGCAGGCGGTGCCGGTGGTGCTGGCGGCGCTGGATGCCCCGGCCACGGTGGGCATCTGCGACGAGCTGGTGCTGGACGCGTCCGCCTCGCGGTCGGTGTATGGTGCGCGGCTGGCCTTCTCGTGGCGTGTGTTCTCGGACGCCGAGTCGCTGTCGCTGGACCTGCTCGTGTCGTCGCAGGCCGCCGATGCCAGCACCGTTACCATCCCGCCCAAGACGCTTACCCCTGGGGCCACTTATGAGGTGAAGATAGAATGGGGTGAGGGGGGAGATAGGGACGGTGAGGAGGGAGGTAGGTGGGTTGAAAATCGCTCATAAGCAACGCTCCTTTTCGTTTTTCCCTCCCACTCACACGATGCTCGCCCCTGTTTTCCTCGCCTCTACTGCTCTCCCCCCCCCACCCCCCTTCCACCCGTTGTCCTGCCCCTTCCCACGCGCCTCCCGCCACAGTTCGCAGTGTTTGTGATGGACCCCAACGGCCGTGCAGCCAACGCGTCGCTGCTCGTCACCCAGTCCGCCACGCCAGCCCCCTCGCTGCGCATCCTCGCCCCCGCCTCCCCCTCCGCCCTGCGCCAGCTCGCAGCCCGCCCCGGCGACTCCCTCACCATCGCCTCCCTCTCCTCCATGCCTGACTCCTCCTGCCTCCCACCTGCCTCCTCCTCCTCCTCCTCCTCCGCCTCTTCACCCCCACCGCCAGCAGCAGCATCCGCACCGGCAGCAGCACCAGCAGCATCAGCAGCATCCCCTCTCCCCGCGCTGTCAGCCACAGCGCCCCGTTCCCTCCTCTCCCTCTCTGACTCCTTCCCCTCCCTCACCTTCTCCTGGTCGCTTGTCGCCGGCCCGCCTCTCAACTTCTCCCTGCCCGCCCTCGCTCGCTCCCGCCACTCCCCCTCGCTCACCATCCCCCCCGGCACGCTCCAGCCCGGCGCAACCTACGTCCTATCCCTAGAAGCCACGTCAGCAGCAGATCCTGCTGTGAAGGCAGTGGACCACGTGGCAGTGCGGGTGAGTGCATCGCCTCTGCGAGTGGCGATCACGGGGGGCGACAGGGTGGTGTCGGTGGGGCAGCCATTGCAGCTGCAGGCGGTGGTGGTGGATGCAGACGAGGCCAGGGACAGCCAGGGGAACCCCTTGCCAGTTCAGTACTCGTGGGGCTGTGAGCCCCTGTCAGAGGCACAGGCGCTGCTCCCAGCCACGTCTCAAGCCTTGTCGGCACCTACCAGTGGTAGCAGCAGCAGCAGCAGCAGCAGCAGCAGCAGTACGGGCGGCAGCAGTGGAAGTGCCTCTGCGTGTTTCCCCAACGCCACTGCAGTGCTCGCCCTCAGCGCCTCCTCTCTCACCATCCCCGCCAACTCCCTTCCCCCCGGCTCCTACCGCTTCTCTCTCCTCGTCTCCCGCAACCCCCTCTCGCTCCCCGGCACTTCCCCCGCTGCGCTGACCCGTGAGAGTGTGCCGGCTGTTGCGGTGGTAACCGCGCAGGACCGGGCGGTGCCGCCCGCTGCTGTTGGCGTGGCGGCGGCTTGGGGTCGGGCGGCAGGGGCCATGGCGGAGTGGGCTCCGGGGATGCAGCAGGGGGGAGGTGGGGGAGGGGGAGGTGGGGAGGGTGGCAATAGTGGGGATGGCAGCAGTGGGGGGAGCAGCAGTGGGGGCAGTGGTAGCAGCGATGGCTCTAGTGGTGCAGCCAGCACAGGTGGTGCAGGCAGCACAGGCGGTGCAGGCAGTACAGGTGGTGCAGGCAGCACAGGCGGTGCAGGCAGTACAGGTGGTGCAGGCAGCACAGGTGGTGCTGGCAGTACAGGTGGTGCTGGCAGTACAGGTGGTGCTGGCAGTACAGGTGGTGCTGGCAGTACAGGTGGTGCTGGCGGTACTAGCGGCTCTGGTGGCACTGGTGGTGCTGGTTCTAGTGGCAGCAGTGGCAGCAGTGGCAGCAGTGGCAGCAGTGGCAGCAGTGGCAGCAGTGGCAGCAGTGGCAGCAGTGGCAGCAGTGGCAGCAGTGGCAATAGCGGTGGTGGTGCCAGTAGCGGTGGCGGTGCAGCAGGCACGGGAGCAGGCGGGGAATCAGCAGCGGGAGGCAGTGGGGGCGTGCAGGCAGGGATAGCGCTGGACCGGTCGAGGCCGGTGGAGCTGCAGTGCGTGGTGGATGTCATGCCGTATGCATACGCGTGGAAGCAGGTGCTGCCCAACGGCACCCTCGTGGACCTCAATGGTACGCGCTGCTGCATCCACACAGTGCACACACACACACACACACACACACACACACACACACACACACACACACACACACACACACACAAAAAAACACACATAACACCCACACACCCGTGCAGGCACCCACTCACGCACACAGGCAAACAAGCACGCACACATCCACACACACAGACACACAATTTCACGATCTCCTGTTGCAACTACAAGCGTACACGGTATAGAGGTTCGGGTTGAAATCCAATCGAACCTAGGGTCAACTGAGTTCGTGCTTGGTTTAGGGTGAATCACACAATTTGAGCCCCAAGCTGACTCTCGAGCTACGGTGTGGAGAATCAAGGTTCACGGCTGGAAAAGTTTAGTCGAGTGGGCCTTAGCTGATACCATAGCGGCCTGGCTAGATGAGGCCTTCATGAAGAAGGCAGCAAGGCCGGCATGAGAGGGCAGCTTGCGGAGGTCAAGGAGGCCGCTCTGATACCGCCTGCTAACCCACGTCTAACTCACGCCCTTCTTATGTCCCAGTCGGTTAGCGGACCAACCATCTTGTCTCTCCTCCATGTCTGTCCTGTCTTTCCTCCATGCCTCTTCTCTTGTCGCCAACCATCCCGCCTCCATCTTGCCCAAATCCATCTCCCCCAATGCTCACCTTCCCTCTCCCGTTCACCCTCTCCACTGTCATTCCCCCATCCTCTGCAGTCACCAACCAGCCCCTGGTGCTGCCCCCCGCCCACCTCGCCCGCGGCGACGCCTCCACCTACCGCTGCGACGTCTACTCCCTGCCCCTCGCCTCCGCCTCCTCGCCCTCCTCCCTCGCCTCCTCCCTCACTGCCGACGGCCAGCCTGCCACCGCCATCCCTGCCAACCCTCCTGCGCCCACCACGTCCGCCTCGCTCACCCTGCCCGCCACCAAGGCCCCCTGGGGCGGCTCCTTCCTCGTGCAGCCTGCTCCTGGGGACAAAACTGGGCAGGTCTTTGCGCTATCCGCCCCTGGGTGGACCGCCCAGCCGCAGGACCAGCCACTCTCCTTCACCTTCGGCACCATGCCGCCCCCCTCCTCCCCCTCCTCCCCCTCCTCCCCCTCCTCTCCCTCTCCCTCCACTCCCTCCCCAACCTCCCCCTCCCCCCCCTCCCCCTCCTCCGCCCGCCCCTCCCTGGCCATGCAGCCCCTGACGCTGCCCTCCTCCTCGCCCTCGTCGCTCGTCATCCTCCCCCCCGGCGCGCCCTCCCTGGCGGTGCAGGTGGCCTCTGCCTCTGGCGCCGTCACACAGACCGTCTTCCCCCAACCCGTCACCGTGCCCACCACGGGCGCAGGTGGAGGCATGGGGTCAGGTGGGAGTGGGGGTGATGTAGGAGGGGCGGCAGCAGGCAGTGGCGATGGGGATGGGGATGTGGCATTGTCGTCACAGCAGTGGCTGGCGGCGGTGGCGGTGCCGGCAGCAGCACGGCAGGATGGGCCTCAGCTGCTGCAGGCGGTGGCTGCGTGGGCCGCCATGTACAAAGGGAATGGCTCCTCTGGGAGCGGTGGTGGTAATGGCACTGCCACTGGGGCTGAAGGTGAGCGCATGGAGCATGGGTGATTGGCGTTGACTCTTTGGTTGGCTTGCGTGTACTCCAGATGTGTGCGATATATGGTCGTCCCATGCGATATATGGTCGTCCCATGCGATGCATGGTCGTCCCGCGTTCACCATGCGCCATACCTAAGTCGGAGCATCCATCCTGCCTCTCCTTCCTCTCTAACCCCTTGCAGTGGAGATGCTTCTTAAGGAGGTGATTCAACAGAGCAAGACAACAGTGGTGACATCACAGTACGCAGAGCTGGCAACATGCAGCCTCGCAGCACTCTCGCCCCTCCCCGCCAACCTCTCGCCGTCGACAGCAGCTGACCTCACTAACTTTCTTGACTCGCTGACTGATGCACCGGATGGCATCTCTGCACGCGCTGGAGATGTGAGTCCTGCTGCTACTGCCAACTGTCTTTCTGAGATCTGCTTTTGCTGTACTTGTGTTGTGCATCCTTCTCTGTGTTCTCTTTGTCTCCGTTTCTCCATGTTTGCTGCAAATCGGTGTGGTCTGCACACATGTGTGTGTCCGTCTCTCCATATGCACGTACCATTAAGATGCACATTCTGCCAGGTTGCACATTCTGCCAGGTTGCACATTCTGCCAGGTTGCACATTCTGCCAGGTTGCACAATCTGCCAAGCTGCACATTCTGCCAGGCTGCACATACTGCCAGGTTGCACATACTGCCAAGCTGCACATACTGCCAGGCTGCACATACTGCCAAGCTGCACATACTGCCAGGCTGCACATACTGCCAAGCTGCACATTCTGCCAAGCTGCACATTCTGCCAGGTTGCGCATTCTGCCAGGCTGCACATTCTGCCAGGTTGCGCATTCTGCCAGGCTGCACATCCTGCCAAGCTGCACATACTGCCAAGCTGCACGTACCATCATGATTCACTGACTCACTAAGTGCGCCAGTGCTGTTGCCACTCTTACCAGACCACGCCACCCTGATTGCCTCATGTCTCTACCTACTCCTTCCTCTGCCCCTCCGCCCCTTCCCTGTCCGCCCTGCAGTGCATCATCGCTCTCACCTCCGACCTCCTCGCGCTCTCCCCCGCAGCCGTCGCCGCAGCTTCGACGCCAAGCGCCACCTCCGCCGGCACCCAAAATGCTTCATCCACGCAAGGCACCTCTGCCTCTAAAGCCGCCTCCACGGCGCCAGCTGCCTTGGCCACTCTCTTCCAGCTGCCAGCCCGCGTGGCGGCAGCGGTGCTCTCAAACCAGACGCCAGGCGCTCAGTACAAGGCCTCCGCTGCCAATATCAACCTGTCCGCAGCAAAAGGTAGCGCTGGGCTGTCATCGGCAGAAATGGTAGCGAGGGATGTCCACAGCAGTATGCCTCACTCCCGCCATCAATGTCCCAGCATCGCCAGTATCATCAAATTGCATCGCCAGTATCATCAAATTGCATCGCCAGTATCATCAAATTGCATTGCCAGTATCATCAAATCGCATCGCCAGTATCATCAAATCGCATCGCCAGTATCATCAAATTGCATCGCCAGTATCACCAAATCGCATCGCCAGTATCATCAAATTGCATCGCCAGTATCATCAAATCGCATCGCCAGTATCATCAAATCGCATCGCCAGTATCATCAAATTGCATCGCCAGTATCATCAAATTGCATCGCCAGTATCATCAAATTGCATCGTCCTGCATCGTCTCAACTGCAGGAGGGCCCCAAACCTTTCTCGTTGTGTTCTACATTTTCTGCTCCTCCCCCTCCTCCTCTTCCTCCCTGCAGTGCGTCGCATGGCCTCTCCCTCACAGCAGGGCGAGTTCGCCTCACTGCTGCCCTCCGCCTCGCTCGCTCTCAACGCCACGGACGCCCGCCTGCCCTCTGGCACCGCCTATATTGCTTCCTTCTACGCCTTCTCTGGTGCCCACCCACTTGGGCTGTCAAGGTGAGTTCGCCACTAGTACTGCGGTCGTAGGACCTTGACTCGTCACTTCCGCCTGCCTTCTGGCACCGCCTTCATCGCTGCTTTGTGCACCTTCTGTGGAACCCACCCCCTCGCGCTGTGTGTGCTGCTATGCTATGCTCTCAGAGAATGCAGACACACAGTCATGCATCCATGCGTCCATGCATCCCTGCATCCCTGCAGCCACTTTCTCCGCGTGCTCATGACTGCACCGCCCTTTCGGATTCCTTGTCTTCCTTCACTGCCAGCCCTTCACTTGTCCATTTCATCTCCAGAGTCTCGCATCTTCTCTGCTCCCCTTCCTCCACTCGAGTGGTGGGCCCGTCAGTGGAGCCGAGAGCAGCGGATGCCTCTCTTTCTGACCTCAAAGTGTATCGCATCCACCCTCCTTCCTCCTGTCTCCCCGGCAGTCGAGTGGTGGGGCCGCCAGTGGTGGTGAGAGCAGTGGATGCCTCTCTCTCCGACCTCAACGTATCGGCGCAGGTCAACATGCTCTCTGCCTCCCAGCCTTCCACGGGTACGAGACAAATGCATGCCTCTGCTCGGTTTCACCCCCTGCTGTGCATGCATCCTTTCGAGCATGAGTCTTAGAGCGTGTTCCTACAAGCCTCTTCCCAGGCTATCCTCTTCCCAAATCGGCCCTCGCCTGGGAGCGTGTTCGAAGAACCGTTTTTCCAGCTAATTCGTTTTAGAATCATGAACTTCACCGCAATGAATCAGCTCCCGTCGAAATCGCACTGTACAGATTCGAGCGCGTCTGAAATTTTGGCGCCTGAAACGAGATTTGAAAACACGCCTTGAATCTCGACAATCCCAATCTCGCGTCACACCACGCGGAACCACACTAGACTGTTTCGCGTCAGAATTACGCGACACTGTAGCGTGCGAGTCTGGGAAGAGGTTGGCTGGGAAGAGGCCGCAGGAACACGCTCTTAGCCTCTGCTACTCTTACCCGTCTCACCTGTGCACCACCACCGCTCGTCCCGTCGCAGAGCTAGGTGTGGCGCTGTGGAACGGCTCCTCCTGGTCCTCCACCTCCATCCACCAGCTCCCCACCGCTACCACGGACCCCTCGGGCCTGCTACCTGTCAGCAGCTCCAATGCTTCCTCCACTCTCGCACTCGCAGCAGCCACCATCTCTGGGCCCCTCCCAGCCGCCTTTGCTCCCTACGTTCTCCGAGTCGACCTGCCGCCGCTTCCTCTGCCGCCCATCCCACCGCCGCCCCCCGTGGAGAGTGGGATGAGTGCGGTTACTGTAGCTCTGGCGGTGTCTCTGCCCATCGCTGGCATGATAGCGTGCATGGCGCTTGGGTTGGAACTGAACCGGCGGAGAAAGCCGATTGCTGATGGCACGGAGACAGGCTCGTTTGACGAGAATGAGTGATCCATGCATGCTGACGAGACGAGGCACCATGAAACTTGTAGCAACATACCGTATGATTTGCTCATCATGGCAGTGTTACCGTAACATGAAGGTCCAAATTTTGTGTAAATATGGCATATACAATAATACAATGCAAGATAAATATAATTAAGGTATTACAAGCTCACTGTACAATACCCATAGCACACAGGGTACTGCTAATGCCACTGCATGAGGTGGTCGTCCAGTCTCACTTCCTGGTAGGTTGAATTGCGAGCACGGATCGTACAGAGTGCCCCTTATCATCCACCCATGTCAGGCTTCCGAACTGGAAATTGTCAAAAGTTCTGGTTACCTTGAATGTCACTATGTACGTAACCTTCTTGCCGGGAGCGATGGTGAACTTGTTCGGTGACACTGTAACCGTCACACCATTTGGAGGCTTGATGGTCGCTGTGTATGTGCACGTGGTATCGGCGACGCTTGTGACTGTCCTTGTTGCCGTCAGCGTCCCTTTCAATCGCGAGATTGCGATGCTTGGCCGGTTCAGCTCGCGGGGGGCAATAGCTGTGAGTTTAGCGCCTGGAAACTCCTTCTGTGCCCGCTTCATACTCTGCCCGGCAAGGAAATTCTGGTAGGCAGCTGCGCGAGCATCGAATGTAAGCCCAGGGTCGAGCACCTTGGCTGGGAGCACATGGCCGGCCCCCATTTCCCATGGAGTAGCCGCCTCTCCATACGCATTCTGGATGGCAGCGCCGCTGGTGTCCGTGGTCTTGGCGGTGGTCATGATGGCCGACATCACCTGCGCGGGGCTCCACGAGGGGTGCTTCTGCATGACCAGGGCAGCGATGCCCGCCAGGTGGGGCGTCGCCATGGACGTCCCCGACAGCTGCGAGTACGTCCCTGGCTTCCCCACCTTCTCCGCCGGCCACGCAGCGTACAGGTCCACGCCTGGGCCGATGATGTCGGGCTTTAAGATGCTGTTGGTGGGCAGGGCGCCGGTGGCGTCAGTGGAGGGGTCGAGGAGAGGCCCGCAGGAGGAGAAGTCGGCGACGGAGGGGGCGACGGTGGCTGCAGGCACGGCAGATGATGAGTTGGTGAGAGCTGCGGCTGCTGCCTTTGTGGCCTTCAGGGTTGTACCAGCACGTGAAATGGTGCTGCGCGGTAGGAATTTGGAGCGTGGGAGAGGGGGGAGGAGAGGGAGGAGAAAGGAGAAGGAAGAATAAGTGGGTGCCGAGAGTGGGATGAAGCAGGAGAGGAAGAGTGGAGGGCGTTAAGCACTGAGTGTAGAGAAGGCGCACGTTGTTGGATTGGAGGAATTACTGGTGCAGGTGAGAGAGAGGGAGAGAGAGTGAGGCTAATACGAAAGGACCTTTTTGGGGAGAGAGTGAGGCTGACCTGGCCCCCACGGTGAGGTAGAATGGCGAGAAGTTGTCGAGTGTGCGGTAGCTGTCAAACCACCCTCCAGGCGAGCCCGAGTTGCCCGCTGCGTACGACACAAACACCCCCGCCTGCACACCCAAGGAGGGGAAGAACCGGCGGCAGAGAGCGGGAGAGTTGTGAGGATGGACAAAACGAAAGCAGGAATTGGCCAGACGCTCCTCAGTGGGCCATCACGAGGACAGGCAAAGAAGCGGCGAGCTCACACAGACAGGGGCAAGGGTCGCCGGCAGTACTCACGAGGTTGGCTGCGAGGTACTTCATGTGGGAGAAGTAGGTGTCGGTGGGGTCCATGCCGCCCAGCGACAGCGAGATCACATCCACGCCGTCCGCCACCGCCTGGTTCACCGCGGCGTCGATGTCGGCGCTGGTGGCGAAGAGCGAGCCGTCCGAGTACCAGAACACCTTGTACATCACCAGCCGCGCCGCCGGCGCCATGCCACTTGCCTTGCCCCCCGCCATTGGCACGTCTTTGTTGCCCGCTGCGGCGCTGTGAGGGGGAAGGGATGGGGGGAGAGGGAAGGGAGGGAGGTCAGAATCAGGTATGAGAGGGACGCTGCAGTCTGCCATACCCAGGTCTCCATTACCCACTGCTGCGCTGTGAGGGGGTGTGTGTGTGGGGGGAGGAGGGTGGAAAGGTGGGGTGTGAGGGGATGCTGCAACTGCGAGGGGCATCTGTATTCAGCGTGAAACAAGGGGGTGAACAAAGCTGGCTCTATAAATGGGGGGGGTGGGGAGGGCGGGGGAAGAAGGGGGGACAGCTAGAGCCACGTACCCTGCACACCACGTGCCATGGCCATAAGAATCCCGAGGCGACAGCCAATCCCCCGAGAGGTCCGGCCCGCCATTGGCGGCCTTAAAGCCCTTGTAGAACGCGCGGGCTCCAATGAGCTTGTTGTTGCACTTGAACTCGCTCGTCGTGTCGCACTTCCCCGACCACCCCGCGGGGCGCGACGACGAGAAGCCGGCGTCACTGAAAGAGGGGTGCTCGGGCCAGATGCCCGTGTCCACGATGCCGATCACCGTGCCCTCGCCCGCCTTCGCCTGCCCACCATTGGCGGGCCACAGCGAGCCCGAGGCGCGCAAGCCGAGGAAGGTGGGCGAGTCGATGGTGAGCGGCTTGATGGTGCGGCTGCGCTCCACAGACGCCACTGCCGGGTGCCGCTGCAGCCGCCGCACCTGCTGCGCCGACAGGGTGGCTGCGAATCCGTTGCTGGCGTGCTGGTAGCTGGGGGAGGGAGGAGGGGAGGTGGAAGGCAAGAGGGCGTTGGAGTGCAGGTTGGATGCAGCGGGCAATGTGGGACTCGCATCAGAGGGGAGCCATGGAAGGGGCCCTTATCATGAAAGGGGGGTGAACTCCCCAGCCTCACTACTCACAGAGTGTCTCGTCCACTCGTACCTGTACACTATGCTGTCTGACATCACGCCCACGTCAGACGCCACCTGCACCTGCTGAGCCTCCAGCATCGCCGCGTGCGCCTTCAGCTGCGAGTTCTCCTCCGCGCTCAGCCGCACGCGCCGCGGGATGCTACCGGCCAGCGTCGCCGCCTCCTGCGCCACCGCGGCGGCCGTCGCCCGCAGGCCTGACGCAGCGGCAGAGCTCGGCTTGCTGCTGCCGGCAGCAGCATTGTCCGACGGGTCGTCGCCGTCAGTCCACCCTGAGAAGCTCGCGATGCCGCCGCTGTATGCGGCGAGGGGTAGGGCGGAGCGCAGGCGCACGATGTAGAGTGACGTGGCCTGGGGGTTGGGGGCTGCGATCAGGCGCAAAGAGAAGAGGGGGAGGGAGTAAGAGGGAGGGGGAGAGGGGGAGATAGAGCACAAAAGATGGTGACGCGGATAGGACGGGGAGGCTACGATGAGTTAGGGTACTACAGGCCATCATCAACTAGATTCCATCACAACATTTGTCAGACGGGGTTAGCGAAATTGGCCAACGATTCTGATCGGATAAAAGTCGCGGGTGCGGATTGTCATAAAAAAATCTGCGTGACGAACACGTTGAGGCAAAAGAACGGCCAAGAGGAAACTATTAACAGCGTCTGCACAGATATACGTAAGGGACAGCCGTAGGTTATGTTAACCAATGCGGGTAGGTTTTGGACTGGCGTGACGTGGCGGGCGGAGTGACGTCACGGCTCGCGTGACGTGGCTGGCTTCGTGACGTGGCCTACCTCGTCGGACGGCGAGGCATTGACATGTGGACGAGAGGAGCAGCGCGACGGCGAGGAGGCATTTGGCGCGGGTCGCCATGACGGCCGCCAGTAGGCTCGCAAGTTGCGGCGTCGAGCTCTCGAGGAATATCACTAGACTCTAGTAGATTGGCTCGCAGGCGCCCTAGTAGGAAATGTTGCTGCGGATTCTTAGCTGACTCTGCGTAAAGCGAATCCCAGACAAACCACCACGCGGTACGCAATAGTGGTTGGCAGGGGAAGTTCGAAACAAGTTATGGCAGAAACCTCCGCAGTGGAGAAGTTGGACGTGAATCTACGATGCGGCGACTTGGAAAGAGTTGCGAGAAGCGTGGCGAACGATACGTGGACGAATGCAAGCTGAGCGATCTGAAGAGAACGAGGGTAGTTGAGCTGAACATATGCGCCCAACTGCCGAACGCGTTTCTTCTTTTACAGTCAGCACCTTCACTGATGAAACCAGGGATTTAGCCGAGGCTCCAGCAGTCACGCAACCCCCGCTTCCCGAAGTTCGCAAAACCTCGGCGAGAGAAGTGCGACCGAGGTGATTCTGCCTCGGTTACCGTCACCACCAACACCCTCGCAGCTTCGCCTCTGGGCATGCGTGAACAGTACGCGCTGGAATGGTGTTGACCTGAGTTGTAAGGACGGAATCTGAGGGCATTGAGACTCGTTTGCCCGGCTGGCAAGCGATGGGAGGGAGCGGGGGAATGGCACGGCACGTTGCGTACTTGACTGGTACTGTAGTATGGTTCCGCAAAATATCAAACTGCACCAGTCAGTTTCGCTGTGTTCTCATCTCATGTCCTGCGTGGCAGCTGAGCTGGCCAAGCGACGGCTGGGGTTGAATTTCAGCGCGGTCAACAATGATTCTTGATTCGCCTGCCGGGTTGTAACAAGCGTAATACAACACAGCATATGCAATGTTATGAATAATAACTGAGAGTGCGTGGAATAATCATGACAAGTACAAGAATGGGAGCCTAGCACTATATAGCGTGAGCCCTAGCTAGGCGACGACCCCGGAGGGCTAGGTTGGGTACAGTCGCGGTCGAAAAAGGTCCGGAGGCGGTGCGAGCCAACCTCGGGGTTGCGTCGGAATCGGAACGAGCCTAGTATTACGAGAGTTCAAGTGTACGCGATGCAGTACAACCTGGTAAGGAATAAATTTCCTAACACTAACCCCCCTCTCCCCCCCCCCCCCCCCCCCCCCCCCCCCCCCCCCCTCTCCCTCTAAAGAAGGTGGTCAATATCGGGAACGTTTTTTCAGATCAAAGACGATTTGAGCACCGAGTGCTCCTGAAGCGAGTCAGAAGTGACCCATTTGTCGTCTTCGCTGGTGCGGTCGGCCCAGCGGACGAGAAAATCCACGCGGCGTCCTGTGGTGTCGAGCAGGGCTCAAATTTCAAGGGTGTTTTACGCTGATTACGCTTACCAGCGACCGCTTTTTTAGGTTTACCCTGATTTTATAAGGGCATTTGTTTTCTGACCCTTTCACAAAAAGTGCAGCGAAAGGTGTTACCATGCTGTAGTAAGGGTGCTCGTTGTTTTACCCTGACCGATCAGGGTGCGTCGAAAAACGCCCTGAACAGAAAACTCTAACCCCTCGGAATTCTACAATTGTCGAATCTTCAGAGCGGGGAATCATCCAGGCAGCCCTGCCCACCGACTCTGAAACTGTTGTCCCAGGAAATCCCTCAGCCCACAGCCCAGATTTGAGGCTAAGTCCTCCTCAGCCAGGGGCATTCCTCCTGCGCATCCCGCAAATCACGAGATCTCAGAAATTTGGCAAAGTCCTCAATGTCAAACGTATATATATGTCGCCTGATCCTGCCGATGCTCGTCCTTGACCTTGCGTCCTTCCCTACTGTCGCTGACCTAGCCACTCACCTGCGCACGATAGACACGATCTGGCGTGCTGCCTGCACTGAGACCCAGCTTAGAGCCTTTCAGCCGCCCCTCTGCTCTGCCCTCTACCTGCTTGCCACCCGCTTCCCTGATCGTCTTGCTACTGCCCGCGACCACTTCCTTAGCACCCACCCTGGTGACCTCACCCTCACCGACTTTGTCGACACCCTGACCGCCATAGAGACCCGCCAGCGCTCTATCGCCCAGATCAGCGGTACTGTGCCGGTCCCTATCTTTCAGGGTTGTGCCCCTGCTCAGTGCACCTTCTCCGACGGTTCTGCTGCTGTGGCTGAGTCCGGAGCTGCAACACAGATCCGTTCTGGGAAGGGCCGCCGCCCCAAGGCTGGGCACGGCGGTGGGGGTGGCGGTGCAGGTGGAGGTGGTGGTGCAGTCGGGTCGCCTAGTGGTAGCGCTGACGAGGGGACCCTCACGAGTGCAGCCGAGCAACCGCCTCAGCAGCCGCAGGTGTCGCAGCCGGACACGCACCAGTCGCAGCCGCAGCCCGCGCACCAGCCTCAGCAGGTACAGCAGCCGCCGCAGCAGAGGCGGGCGAGTGGCCTCCCGCCCGGGTGGCCTGGCACTGGTGGTGGCGGTGGACGTGGTGGTCGTGCACGTGGTGGGCTGCCGGGTGGCGGGTCGGTTGACGCGCGCTGTCAGTACCAGCTCCAGACCGGTCCTCGCCGTGGTTTTGTTTGCGGTAAGATCGATCACACCTCCGACCGCTGTTTCCGTCGCCTGGACGACCTGTTTCGTCAGCGCTTCGGCCAGTCGCCCGACCTCCCCGACTGGATGAGATTGTTGCTGCCGTAGCGTTCAGATCTTTGATATGGACATGGATGAGATTGTTGCTGCCCTGCATGTGATGTATGCTGATGACTCTAGTGTGACTGCTTCTTACTACCCCTTGTTGTTTAGTGTAGGCATGTCTAGTCTTGCCTCCCCTTCTGCGTCAGGCGTAGGATCCCCTGCTTTGTTTAGCCTAGGTTCTACTATCGCTGCTCTGTGTTCAGACGCCACCGCTGCGCTCTCCTTCATCCTCGACTCTGGCGCTTCTCGTTGTTTCTTCCGGGACTCTACTACGCTGATGCCTCTTGCTACTCCAGCTGCAGTTTCCATTGCCGACCCCTCCTCCGACCCGGTAGTCGCTCGCAGTTCCACCACCCTTCCCTGTCCGGCGGTTCCTTCAGGCTCTCTTACATGCACATCCCCTTGTTCTCCAGAAACCTAGTTGGTGTCGGCTGCCTCCAGGACCTTGGCGTCACCACTACGTTCCCTGGTCACGAGCGGTACGATGTCTGTATCGAGGCCGCCACTGGTGCCCCCCTCACCACGTTCCCCCGGGACCCGGTGTCCGGCCTGTTCACACTGGATACTGCGACCCCTCTGGTAGGGACGTCTTCTCAGGTGGCTGCGTCTACCCAGGTTGCTGTGGCCTGCTCCTGTCAGTCGCTCACTCACCCGACACTCCTGTGGCACCACCGTCTAGTTCACCCCGCCCTCCAGCGTCTGCGTCACATGTCACAGCACGGTCTTGTCCTAGGTCTCCCAGGGTCGTTCCCCGAGTTGCCCTCCTCCCCAGCACCACCGTGCACGCCCTGTGTCGAGGGCCGGCTCCGCCGTGCCCTTCACTTCTCCTCGTTTCCCACTACCGCCGCACCGCTATAGACTCTACACATGGACGTCTGGGGTCCCGCCCCCGTCCATGGGCCGCGTCGAGAGCGCTACTTCCTAGTGCTTGTCAACGACTACACGCGCTACACCACCTTGTTCCCCCTAGAGCGGAAGGCCGACGTGCCTGACGTTCTCATCCCGTGGCTTGTCTCTACGCGTGTCCACCGCGGTCTCCCTGTCTCGTGTCTCCACTCCGACCGTGGTGTCTTTGGTCGTTTCTGTCGTGCGGAGGGCATCACCCAGACATTCACCTTGCCGGACTCCCTGCAGCAGAATGGGGTTGCTGAGCAACGCATCGGTTTGGTTATGGAGGTGGCTCGTACCTCCGTGATCCACGCTGGTGCACCCCATTTTCTGTGGCCGTTCGCCGTTCGCTACGCCGCTCACCAGCTTAACCTGTGGCCGCACCCCCAGCAACCGCAGGTTTCGCTGACCCTTCTTTGGTCCGGGTCTCCTGGTGACGCGTCTGCGTTTCACGTCTGGGGCTGCCTTGCTTACGTTCGTGCCTCTGGCATGGACAAGCTCACTGCCCGCACCCTCCCTTGTGTCTTCCTCGGTTTCCCTCTTGACGCGTCCGACTGGCACTTCTACCACCCGCCGTCTCACCAGTTCTTTCACTCCCGTGATGACACCTTTGACGAGTCCGTCTCCTTCTACCGACGCTTCCCCTACCGAGTTCCCCCGGTTACTCCCCCCCTGTTCCTGGTCACCCCTTCCTTGGTCGCCCCTGTCCCCCCCCCTCCCCCTCCCCGTCCTGCACCGTCTGGTGTGTCTCACGTCACTCCCCTCCCATCGGTTGTCCTGGTTGAGGAGTATGCTGACTCTGGTGGCCCTGCAGCACAGTCCTCACCGCCTGCACCTTCCCAGGCGTCTCCTCCTCCGCCACCTTCGCAGCCGCCGTCGCCGCCGTTGTCTCAGCCACCGTCACCGCCACCGCTGCCGCCGCAGCCGTCGCAGCAGCAGTTCGTTGAGTCTAGGGGTGCTAGCGTTGGGGTGGGTACTAGTCCTGGGGTTCTTGTCGTGGCTTGTCCCGGCGGGCCTGGGGGTGGTACCGGTGTTCGCGGGGCTTCGGGCTCTGGGAGTGTTCCTTCTAGGGGTGCTGGAGTGGAGTGTTCCGGAGGTAGCCGTGGAGCAGCATGCCATCCCGGTCTCGGTGTCGTGCCGCTGCAGCAACAGTCACCGCCGGTGTCATCCCTTCACCTGCTCGGCCTCCCTTCCCCTGACCACGTATCGGTGCCTCCCCTGTCGTCTCCTCCCCTTCCTGTCTACGGCCCTGTGTTCCCTCCCCTGGACTCGTCTCCGGCTCGTCTTCATCCTCGTTCCCCTCCTGTGCCCCCTCTATCTCCTGACCTGACGCCTCCGTCTCACGTCTGGTCTCGTCGTCCCTCCCGTGCTTGCCCCGTCTCCCCTGTCCCGCGCTCTCATCCTATGTTGCTTTGTTCTCACGCGTCTCGTTCTCCACTCCTACCGTCGCCGCCTCCGCCCTCTCTTGTTGTTGCGCCTCCCCCCATGTCTGACTACCTTTGCGCCGCTCGTCCCCTTGTTCCTCGGGTCCTTGCCTCTCTCGTTACTGACCCGTCTGTTCCAGTCTCGTGTCTCGAAGCTCTTGTCGCTGCGGTCACTGACTTCGCCTCTACACGCCGCCTTGACTACGCCACCGCTTTGGTCTCTGACCCTGCCTGTCCTCCGTCTGTCGGGGGTGCTCGTGCCCTCCGCAGTGACGTCCTGGAGGACCGCCAGTACGAGCTTGCTTTCCTGTCCGAGGCTGCTCCCCATCTCTGTTCCATGCTGCTAGTCCCTGAGTGTGACCCC